CTCACCTCAGCCTCCCAAAGGTGCGGGATTACAGGCTAAGCCACCGAGCCCGGCCCCTTTTCTTACTTTTCGTAAAGAATGTCTTATTATGTTGCCCAGGCTGGCCTTGGACTCCTGGCCTCAAGTGATCCTCCCACCTTTGTCTCCCAGAGCGCTGGGATTACAGGGGTGAGCCAACCAACCAGCCCCAGGATTTATTCTTCAAAGATCCCTGCCACTAGCAGAAGTCCTCAGTGAAGACCCATTCTCCCTCTCCCAGGAAAACACAGAGGCCAAATGAATAAGATGCTGCCAGTTCTCTTGAGTTTTCAGAGCTTGCCTGCCCCAAGTGAGTGAATCGCCTCTCAGATCCACCAAAGGCTGTGTGAGGGAAACCCACTCCCCACACCTTCTCAACTAAAACAATGCTTTCTAAAGTGCATTCTGTACCCTGACATGCTTGTGGGAGAAGAAGCTTGGTCAAAGAGGTTTGGGAAATGCTGGATACTGTGCTTCCTTCTTGGACATTTGAAACACATATTAGCATATGAAAGGTTCTGAAAAGTCCTGCAGGTGGCAGATCTGTTTAGCTTAATGGAACCTAGGGTTTTCCAAAACACTTGGCCCCCAGTCACACCTACTAATGTCCAATAAGCCAGTGTGTCCTGGATGTACTTTTTCATATGGTTTTTTCCATGTGGGCTTCATCCAGGGCCGTCCTCAAGGCTACCACGTCACCTGTTTGACCATGGCTGGAGAAGAGGCGCCATGCTCTCCCGGCTCTACCCCGTCCCTGCTCAGGTGGGGACATGGAGGAATGCAATCACTCTGAACTTCTAGAATTAGAAGCAGAAGACCACGTCCAGGGGAGTGAAGAAGGCAGCTGGGATGACGTGACCATAGAACGACCAATAGAGAATGCAGTATGTCTGTCCCTACGCTGGCCTGGGGTCTGGGGCTGAAGCTGGGAGCCCCAGCAAGGCCCTGTGGCTCCGGTCATGGCAGTTTGCCCCATTGCTAATGAGGGATGGGAGCCTGCTAGAAGATCTTATGAGGTCAGCAGAGCAGGGGTTGTTTGCGAGGTGCTTAGATGAAAACGCTCTGTGCAGGGAGGGTTCTTATCATGGTCTCCAGCAGACCCGAACCTTCCGGAGAAGGATTCAAAACTCACAGACTGCTGGGGCTGGACAGCCTGTCGAGGTCAGTGATTCTGGCCACCCCTTTCACTGATGGGATAGCTGAGGGCCAGACAGGGCTGTGGCCTGAGATTAGCAGCAGTGGGAGAAGTAGAGGCAGAGAGCAGGAGTGAGAGAGAAAGTGGAAATGGGGAGGAAGGTGGGGAGGGGAAGAGACAGACAGTCACAGATCTGATGTTCCCAGAGCTTGGGGAGAAAAAAAGGAGGTCTGGGTGACTGAGGAGGTCTTGGTCTCGACAGTGGGGTCCGTTCTGCACCTCGGGTCCCTACCTGCACAGGGAGGGTTCTCGCTCTGTCTAGAATTTACTCAGACCCGTAAGGGTGGCCCTGTGCCCAGGCAGCACCAAGCATGGAGGGGCAGGAGGGTGGAGGGGGCAAGCCTCGCCAGATAAAGAAGAGGGGCCCTAGCTGCTGTCCCTGGGCCGATCACATTCTGGCCCCGAGAATGGAGCCTCAACCTGGGAGGCTGCCTGGTCCTGCCAGCCCCAAGGGCCTAAGGGACCCCTCTCACCACTGCCACTCGTTTTCCCAGCCTGAGTCATAGAATTTTCCCACCCTCCCCGCAACGCCTAGTCTGACTTCCAGACAGTCCTGGACAGCGACACTGCAGTGACTTTAGTCACCCTCAGTGTTTTAACGGAAGGGTAATCAGCGGCCTATGACAGGAGGCCAGGGCAGAATGGGAACGCCAAGGGCGAAGGTGACAAGTCCACAGGTTGGCAGCAAAGCTGACAAACAGGGACCAGAGGCTGTCTCCTTTTTTGTCAGACAGCGGCTGCCCCTGGGAAGGGCCTCGGAACGTCCTAGATTTGGACAGAGAAGGCGGGGGAAGGACTTCTCCTGCTTACTCACTGGGCCAACTCGAGGCAAGGCACTTCCAGGGCCTTCTCAGCCTCTTGGGTGATTCTGAAAGACCCACCCCGGGCTCTTGGGGCACACACCTGGCTCCCAATCTCACTCCCGCCTCGTTCCTTCCTGGGAAAAGGACCGAGAGACTCCTACTGTCCTCTCTGCAGAGTCCCCGGAGGGAGCTATGACCGCAGGCGGCATGGCGGGCCGGGCCCTGGGCCCTACGTGGTGAGGAAGGAGACCTCGGTGGGTGTGACGGAGGCCAGGGGGAAGGCCGGAGAGGTGCTGGCCCCCAAGACACGATATAGCAGTTCCTCCTTCTCCTGCTGGAGCTGCCTCCGCTGCTGTGCCTCCTTCTCCAGGGCCTCGCGGGTGAGCAGCAGGTCTTCAGAGAGCTGCCTGTGAGCACAGGAGAGCCCAGGGTTGCCCAACCCAGTCCCCAGGCAGTCTTTCCGAGCCGGGCCTCTAGCCTGCCCGGGGGTCCCCATGCCCATGCCTTTTTGCAAGAGGCAGGTCAGTCCGTTGAGGAGCATGGACAGGCAAGCAGCTCTGCGCCGCTCTAGACCTCAGCGGTGCTACTCAGCTGTGTGACCCGGGATGAGTCTCGCTTAATTCGTGTCCTCATTTGCAAAACGGGAATAGAATAATAGGACCTAGTTTGCTGGGCGTGGTGGCTCACGCCTGTAGTCCCAAGCACTTTGGGAGGCCAAGGCTGGAGGATCGCTTGAGCCCAGGAGTTCAACATCAGCCTGAGCAACATAGTGAGACCTTGTCTCTACAAAAAAATAAAAATAAAATGTAAAAATAAAATAAAATGCTGCAGTAAGGATAGCACTCGCTGAGGAAATCCTTCCTCCTGTTACCTGCCACCCCCAGGATAAAGCCTCAGTATCTCATCGATCTCTCCCTGATATGCTCCCATGACTCAGCCTCCTCCCGACTCCAGGACCCCTTTCTCTGGCCTCCTGCCTCTCACCCCTACCCTAGAACCCCCCTCTCAAGATGGCACAGCAAGCCCTCTCCCTACACCCCAGGAGAACTGAGCCCGCACACACATCTCCCCCAGAACCTTCCATACCAGTGGCTCCTCCCAGACTTCCCATCTGTTTCCCCCATTAGAGGAGTTTCTTGGGGGCAGGAGTAGGGCTTACTAGCCTTGCATGCCCGGCATCTAGACCCAGTGCCCAGGACTTAGGAGGTATACCCAGTGCATGCATGTAGAAGAAATACATCCACAGGGAAGCATGGTATAAAAACAAAAACAGCATCCAGTTCTTGAAGTCATTATGAGAATTAGGTGAGGGGACACCTACAGTATTAAGGACGTGTCTGACATGCACTAAGCCCTGAGGACTGACTCATTCCACTTATGCCTGGTGAGCCAGAAGCTTCCTGCTTCCTCTTCCCCATATTGGGCTCTCCCATAGAGCCACTCAGCCAGGACATGACACACAAGTGCTCATCAGGGCACTGGGACTTTGGTTTCCAGGTAGGGCTGATCCCACGGGTTTCTTGATTCCCAAGGAAGGAACAGCCACAGATGCGAGACAGGCCCTGGGCCCACCTGCCATCCAGTCCCTGGGTTCCCTGAGACTCTCCCAACTTGAGATTTTGGTAAAAGGCTGGAGACGGAGGAAAGGAGGCAGTAGGATGGTTACCTTGACAGGGCCGCCTGGTTCTGGCCTCGGGCCTGGAGGTCCTCGTTCTCCTGCTGCAGGGTGGTGACTTTGTCCTCCAATGCCAGGTTTTCTTCTCTCTGTAGCAAATTGGAAGATTGAACGCTGTCACACTCACGAGACAGCACCTGCTGCCACCTCCCCTTCCGTGGTCACTGAAAGCATTGGTTCATTCTGGGCTAGATGTTACATTTCACGGAGCAATAAGATAACTTAAAAAATAAAGCCGGGCTCGGTGGCTCAGCCTGTAATCCCGTGCGTTTGGGAGGCTGAGGTGAGTGGACTGCCTGAGCCCGCGGGTTCGAGACCCACCTGGGCAGCGAGACCTCATCTCTACAATAAATCAAAAAATCAGCCAGACGTGGTAGCGCATGCCTGTAATTCCGGCTACTCGGAAGGCTGAGGCGGAAGGATCGCCGGAGCCCAGCAGGTCGAGGCTGCGGTGGCCGGGAGCAGCCACTGCACTTCAGTCTGGGCGACAGAGTGAGACTCCAACTCAAAAAAATAAAATAAAATAAAATAAATAAAACAAAGGAGTTGACAAAGGGCTACTGACTTTAATTCTGCCACAGGAAAATATTAAAAGAGAACACAGCCACTACCATCTCACATTCTCGTTGGTTCACAGAAGAAAGGATATGTTTTGTTCTCCAAAAATCGGAAGGATATGATCGACATAATAAAATCAAGTTTGTCTGTTATGTGTTTCCACAAAAATGGTTGAATAACATCTATAAGGAATGTTGGATCTGATTAAGATATAGGCTGTGTGGCACCCGGCAGGCCAGGGTAACTTCTTCCAGAGCAACAGAATCTCTGCTTGGACTCAGCTCTAGGTTCTGGGGGTCTCTGCTCTCCTGTGTCCTCAATGTCCACTGCTCCCTGCCTCTGTCGTTGCCGACACTGACCTTACTCCTATAGGAATGTCTGTCTGGCCGTTCAGCCCAGCCTTGCCCAAGTTACTGACAGGAGTAGCCAAGAAAAGCACAGGCCTAGCCAGGCTGGTCTCACAGCTGTACTCCCAGCACTTTGGGAGGCCGAGGCAGGAGGATTAAGCCCAGGAGCTCAAAATCAGCCTGGGCAACATAGTGAGACCTCATCTCTACAAAAAATGAAAAAATATTAGCTGAGTATGATGTGGGCACCTACAATCCCTGTTATTCAGGAAGCTGAGGTGGGAGGATGGTTTGAGTTTAGGAACTGGAAGCTGCAGTGAGCTATGATCGAGTAACTTCAGCCTGGGCGACACAGCGAGACCCTGTCTCCAAGTGAATAAGTAAATAAATACACAAGAAAAGCACAGGATGGCCGGGCACAGTGGCTCACGCCTACAATCCCAGCACTTTGGGAGGCTGAGGTGAGAGGACTGCCTGAGCCCACGGGTTTGAGATCAGCCTAGGGAACTTGGCAAGACCTCATCTTTACAATAAATAAAAAAAACTAGCCAGTTGTGGTGGTGTGTGACTGTAGTTCCAGCTACTTGGAAGGCTGAGGCCTGAGACCAGCAGGTAGAGGAGGCGGTGGCCGTGAGCATGCCACTGCACTTCAGCCTGGACGACAGAGTGAGACACCAACTCAAGAAAAAAAAACAAAACAAAGCAAAGCACAGGACTAGATTAGGAGCCCCTGCTGGACCCAGACTGACCACAGATTAACCTCGGCTAGTCAGTGTGGGTGACAGGGCACAACTGGAGTGGAAAAGTCCAGGCCCTCTTCAAGCCATCTCCCCCCATGTGCTTTCCAAAGGCAATGCCCAGGAAGCATGAGCCTGAGGCTGCATCCCCGTGATCCCCAGCCACAGACCAGTGTTCCCATGAGGACCAGTCGCTTGTCCAGCTCACGAATCCGCTCATTCTTCATCTCGATGACGAAATGCAGACTCTCCAGCTCCTGCTCCCAGAACGGGCCGGGCCTCCCATATTCCTAGACAGGGACAGAGTGACCTCATGAGACCAGCAGGCAGAGAAGGGCATGGGCTACCCTCTCTGGCCCATTCTGCCATCGACTTACAATTGGCTTTCACAAGTCACCCTCCTCTCCCAGCTCAGGTCAGTGCTTGAGATTATTGTTATACCCTCATAATACCGTGTGAGGCACGTACTAGTACCCACAGAGAGGAGACTGTGGTTTAGACAGGCTGAGCCACTCGTACCAAGTGGCAGAGTTATTTCTTTATTTATTTATGGGAGAGCGTCTTACTCGGTCACCCAAGCTGGAGTACAGTGGTGCAATCATAGATCACTGTAGACTCCAACTCCTGGATTCAAGGGATCCTCCTACCTGAGCCTCTGAAGTAGCTGGGACTATAGGCACATACCCCTGTACCCAGCTAATTTTTAAGTTTTATGCAGGGATGGAGTCTTGCTATGTTGCCCAGGCTGGTCTTGAACTTCTGGGCTAAAGCAAGCCTCACTCCTCGGCCTACCAAAGTGCTGGGATTATAAGTGTGAACCACCATGCCCCACCTAAATTGTACTTTTGCTATTTGCACCGAGTTCTCTTTGAACCCAGAGACTGAGCACTTGGCTGCTCTCTGAGCCTCATTTTCCCCATCAGTGAGATGATTCCAAGTCCTTGTGAAGGTAAAAGCATCAGGTCTGAGCCTTGCCCTTGAAGAAGGACTGGGCCTTCTGGTTGCCTAGTTCTGACCTCCCTGGAGATTCATGGGGGAAAGGCCCCTGGAGGTACTGCCACCTACCAGGATATGCTTCTTATAGTCTTGTCCTAGACTGGACTCCTCCACCCTCTGCATCTTGGCCTGGAAGGCTTCCAGCTGTGAAGTCAGTCCGGCTATGGTCTCCTGGGGAAGGAAGCGGGAAGGAGCTGGTCAAAGCCTGCTTCATACAGGCCATAGGTAGATGTCACCACATTCCAGAGGGAACAGTCGGGGATGCTTCAGTCTATCTCTAGTATACCCCACATGGCAGTGCAGGATTAATCTACTTCAACCCCTGCTGGAAACATACCAGCCCGATCCTTTGCTAAAAGGTTTTTAATGGCTCCCCATACTCTTGGGGACAATAGCCTGGTGTTCAAGAGTAGTGCTAGCCTGGCATTCAAAGCCCATCAGAACCAGGCTCAGGGAACTCTTCCAGTCTCACCTCTCACTGCTCCCTCTACAAATCCTCTCCTGCAGACAAACACCACAGAACTCCCCAGCTACAAGGTGCATTCTGGTCTCCAGATGTATCCCCTTCCAAGAGGTTCCTCTACCTAGACCTTGACCATGGCCTTTAGGATAAACACCACCCCTTAAAATGGCTCAGGACTCCCACTCTGGCCTGTGCCCACTTCTGCAGCCTCAACTCCATCTTCCACTCCCACTCCTACCCAAGGCATCCTGGACTCTTGCAGTTCCTTGTATTCCTAATTCTTTCCCTCTTCCCTCTCGGCTTTTGAACACATCGCTTGCTTTCGGCTTGGGATACCCTTCCTACTCTTCGAATTTCAGCCTGTCCTTCAAATTCCAGCTCAGCTCTCCCTCCTCCAGGAAGTCTTCCCTGAGCAGCCAAACGGAGTCAGATGCTTCCTTTCCTGCTTTCATGGCTTCCTTGCATCCACCCACTGGTCTAACCACACCATGGTAGCTGTCCTGCACCATCTCCAGGATGCTCTCAACAATCCGTGGAAAGACAGGCCAGCCCTAATCTCTAACTGAGCCCTCCTGAGCTAATAGCCTGGTCACCCCATCAAGGAGTTCAGATACATGGAAGATAATCTCCTCCATCCCTCACTGCCAGGTGGAGGCCAACAGTTTTGGCTCTTTGGGGCTATCCTCGCTGCCTCCCTTCAGACCCTCCTATACCCTCACTGGAGATTGACACAGCCCAGTCCCTCTTACCTGCAGGGCATCCTTGTTCTCTTGGAAGGAGTGAGTAAGGGCTTCCTTCTCCTGTTCGTATGAGGCCCGGAGAACTGAGGGGAGAGGAGAACTCCACAAGCTCAGATACTTTTACCCAAAGCAGGCACCTTGAGGGTCAGAAATGTCCAGATGATCATCTGGGGCCAATAGGGGTCAGGGGTCTGGGAATGGTTTTACTCATCCTTTTTTTTTTTTGAGTTGGAGTCTCACTCTGTTGCCCAGACTGGAGTACAGTGGCTGCTCTTGGCCACCGCAGCCTCGACCTGCTGGGCTCCGGCGATCCTTCTGCCTCAGCCTTCCAAGTAGCTGGAATTACAGGCATGCGCTACCACAACCGGCTAATTTTTTGATTTATTGTAGAGACGAGGTCTCGCTGCCCAGGCGGGTCTCGAACCCGTGGGCTCAGGCAATTCACTCACCTCAGCCTCCCAAAGGCACGGGATTACAGTTACTCATCCTTCTATCTCCTAGGCTCACTTGGGGGCTATGCTAGAAATATACTAGGTATTTAAGAAAAACTAATAGAAATGGAAACCAATTATATCCTGGGAGGAATCCAACCAGACTGTGGGTGCCACCCACATCCTGCCAAGGCTCCAAAATTCTTGCAGCAAGCTTGTGTCAATTCTTTGTAAGCTGGGCTAGTTGAATCATCAAATCATTAGTTGTTAAACCAAAGCACAAGACTGCAGTAAGAACACTGGATCTGTGGCCAGGAAACTTACCTTATCCTGGCTCTGCTTCTCAAAACTGAGAGATCTTGAGAAGATCACATCAAACATCTAAAAGTCCTGCTGCCCCAATTGTGAAATGGGGTCAATAAGCCTGGTTTAGCCAGGTTCGGTGGCTCAGCCTGTAATCCCGGACCTTTGGGAGGCTGAGGTAAATGGATTGCCTGAGCCCACGGGTTCGAGACCCGCCTGGGCAGCGAGACCTCATCTCTACAATAAATTAAAAAAAAATCAGCCGGGCATAATAGCGCATGCCTGTAATTCTGGCTACTTGGAAGGCTGAGGCGGAAGGATCGCCGGAGCCCAGCAGGTCGAGGCTGCGGTGGCCGGGAGTGGCCACTGCACTCCAGTCTGGGCGACCGAGTGAGACTCCAACTCAAAAAAAATAAAAAATAAATAAATAAATAAGCCTGGTCTGGTTGTCTTTAAGGGGTGCAGACCACATGAGAAAGGGACATGCAAGGGATTTCCAGACAAGGCAATGCTGGGGTGGCCATGAGCGTGCCACTGCACTTCAGCCTGGACAACGGAGTGAGACTCCAGCTCAAAAAAAAAAAAAAAAGAATTATTAACAGAGTTTTTAACATGGCCATTATAAAAATACTCTAAGAAGTAAGGGTATTTCCCATTGAAGGAAAAAAAAGATAAAAGGAAAAAAAAAGTAAGAATGAATCCATTTTTTTGTTTGTTTGTTTTTGAGTTCGAGTCTCACTCTGTTGCCCAGACTGGAGTGCAGCGGCAAGATCCCACTCGCTGCAGCCTCGCCCTCCGGGGCTTCAGTGATCCTTCCACCTCAGCCTTCCAAGTAGCTGGAACTACAGGCATGCACTACCATGCCCGGTTACTTTTTTATTTATTGTAGAGATGAGGTCTTACCAAGTTACCCGGGAGGGTCTCGAACTCGCAGGCTCAGTCAATCCACTTGCCTCGGCCTCTCAAAGTGCTGGGATTACAGGCTGACCCACCGAGTCTGGCCCACTCTTTTTTTTTTTGAGTCAGAGTCTCACTCTGTCACCCAGGCTGGAATGCAGTGGCACTCTCATGGCCACCCCAGCGTCGGCCTGCTGGGCTCAGGCAATCCCTCTGCCTCAGCCTTCCAAGTAGCTAGAGTTACAGGTATGTACCACCAGGGTCGGCTAATTTTAATTTATTGTAGAGATAAGGTCTCACCATATTGCTCAGGCTGGTCTCAAACCCGTGGTCTGAGGCAATCCTCTCTCCTCAGCCTCCCACAGTGCTGGGATTATAGGCAAGAACTACCATGCCTGACTGAATCCACTCTTATAAAGAATAGAAAAATAGAAAATCTTTGCAAATAAATAGAGATATTAGCAACAAACAAACAGCCTAGACAACAATAGCGAGACCTTGTCTTTACAGAGAATAAAAAAAAAAATTAGCCAGGCATGGTAGTGTGCGCCTGTAGTCCTAGTTACTTGGAAGGCTGAGGTGGAAGGATCGCCTGAGCCCAAGGCTTCGGTGAGCTATGAGCGTGCCACTGCACTCCAGCCTGGGCGACGGAGTGAGATCCTGATGACAATGATGATGACAATTAAGGAGGAGGAAGACAAGGAGGAGGAGGAAGAGGAAGCAGCAGCAACAAATAAGTTGTAGAGCTAAAAAATGCAATAAATGAAATAAAAGCTCACAGGGTGAAGTCAATAGCAGAAAGACTATGACATAAGAAAGAGTCAGTGAATTTCAAGATAGACCAATAGAAATGATCCAATCTGAACAACACAGAGAAAAAAAGACTGGAAAACAAATGAACAGAGCCTTAGGGACCTGTAAGACAACTGCATGATGTCTAACATTTATATCATCAAAATCAAAGGTGAAGAGGAGAAAGAGTGCATTGCAGAAAAATTTATTTGAAGATAAAATGGTTGAATATGTGCCCAAAAAGGCAAAACATAAACCTACAAATTAAAGCAGCTCACTGAACTCCAAAGCAAATCTAAAGAAATCCACTCCCAGACACAACATTTCTGAGAGCTAATGGCACAGAAAATATCTGGATGGAACCAGAAAAAAAGTGCTACATTACTTATAGGGAACAAAAGCTTGAATGACTGTGTAGTTCTCTTCAGAAACCTTAGAGACTAGAAGGAAGAAGAAAATCTAAAGACTGCTGAAATAAAATAACTATAAACCCAGAATCCTATATCCAGTGAAACTATCCTTCAGAAAAGAAGGTGAAATAAAGACATTCTCACATGAAGGAAAACTAAAAATCTGTCACCAGCAGATATGCTCTAAGAGAGCTGCTAAGGGAAATTATTCAAATGATACCAGAGGGGAACTTGAAACTCCAAGAAAGGAGGAAGAATAACAGAACTGGTCCACACAATAGACTATCTTATTTTCTTGAGTTCTTTAAAATATGATTGATGGCCGGGAGCAGCGGCTCAAGCCTGTAATCCTAGCACTTTGGGAGGCCGAGGCAAGAGGATTGTCTAAGCCCGCAGGTTTGAGACCAGCCCGGGCAACATGGTGAGACCTCGTCTCCACAATAAATCAAAAAATTAGCCGGGTGTGATAGCACACGCCTGTGGTTCTGGCTACTTGGAAGGTTGAGATGGAAGGATCACCTAAGCCCAGAAGGTCAATGCTGGGGTGACTGTGAACATGCCACTGCACTCCAGTCTGGGCAACAGAGTGAGACTCCAACTCAAAATAATAATAATAATAATAATGGTGACAATGACGACTAAGAGCAAAAATTATAACACTGTCTGATGGGGGTATTCAGTATATATAGATGCAAAAAGAGACAAGTATAATAAAAACAGCAGAGGACAGAAAAATCCACACTATGGTAAAACCTCTCCTTTTATTTAATGTGGTAAAACAGCAATTCTAAGTAGGCTGCTAAGTAAGTGTTATCATCATCCTTAGAGTAATCACTTAATACAAAACTATACAAATAGATGTAGTAAGAAAGACAATAGGTAAATTGAAAGGGAATACTGAAAAAATATTCAAATGCTCCCAAAGAAAGCAGGCAAGGGGAAATAGAGGCTACAGAAGAGAGAGAACAAGCAAAACAAATACTACAACCATAGACCTAATATAACCATGTCAATAACAACATTAATGGTCTAAACACATCAAATAAAAGAATATGTCAGGGCCAGGCGTGGTAGCACATGCCTATAATCCTAGCACTTTGGGAGGTTGAGGTGAGAGGACTGCCTGAGTCCATGGGTTCAAGACCATCCTGGGCAACTTGGTGAGACCTCATCTCTACAATTAAAAGAAAAAATTTTACAGGCTTTGTGGCGTGTGCCTGTAGTTCCGGCTACTAGGAAGGCTGAGATGGAAGGATCACCTAAGCCTAGCAGGTTGAGGCTGCGGTGGCCATGAGTGTGTGCCACTGCATACCAGCCTGGGCGACAGAGTGAGACTCCAGCTCAAATATATATATATATATATTTATTTATTATATTATTTATTATTTATTTATTTATATATAAATAAATATATATATATATACACACACTTATGTCAGAATGGACTTAGAAAATAACAACTATGTGTTGTCTACAACAAACTCATTTAAAATATATGTCATAGGTTAAAAGTAAAAGGTTGGAGGAAGAAACAAATCACAAGAAAGCTTTCTCTTTATTTATTTATTTATTTTTTTAGTTGGAGTCTCACTCTGTTGCCTAGAGTGCAGTGGCCACTCCCGGCCACCACAGCCTCGACCTGCTGGGCTCCAGCAATCTTTCCGCCTCAGCCTTCCAAGTAGCCGGAATTACAGGCATGTGCTACCACGCCCAGCTGATTTTTTAATTTATTGTAGAGATGAGGTCTCGCTGCCCAGGCGGGTCTCAAACCCGTGGGCTCAGACAATCCTCTCACCTCAGCCTCCCAAAGGCGCGGGATTACAGGCTGAGACACTGAGCTCGGCTACACGAAAGCTTTCATGGCAGATTCATTTCAGACGGAGAACTCAAAGGAGAAATAGACTAACATACGTTATAGTTGGACACTTCAACACTCCTCAGCATTCCATACAAAACATAGACAGAAAATCAGCAAGAATATAGAACTGAACACCATCACCAACCAAACTTAATCTAATTGATTTATTTGTAAAATCCTCAACCTAACACTAGCAGAATACACATTCTTTTCAAGTATACACGAAACATTCACAAGATGGAGTGTATCCTGAGTCATAAAACAAATTGTAACAAATTATAAAAGGAGCAGAATGCAAACTATGTCCCCTGACTATGGAATCAAATAGGAAATCATTAACAGAAAGGTATCCAGAAAAATCTCCAAACACTTGGAAGTATACGTCTACATAT